ATGGCTCTCCACCAAGCCCCGGCCACTTTTGCAGCTGTGGGCTTCTCAAAAGCTATGTCTTTATTCAGACACATTCCAGGTTCATACTCCTTTTTCAGGCACATCAGCTTGGCTTTAGAGCATGTGGAATCATCATCCAACAGTCCTCAGCTGTCTTCTGAGGTGCCAGGGATTAAGACGGTTTCTTCTCATTGACATGGGTTAAGATATGACTTCTGAGTATGTGGAGGTGGCTTTGTGAGTGTGTGCAGTGCTTGTGTACAGGCACATGAACATATGTGCATGGAGAGGGGCAACTGGGATAATATTCAACAGGGATAATTTATTCAAATTTTAGTACCCTTTGAATTTGTTACTGTGATGAGACATTTGAATAGAACAGATAGATGTCCTTATGAGACACAACTGTCATCTGGTATGTGGGATTGCTTGATAATCGAGATATACTTAGAGAGCAGGGTGGGAAGCCCCTACCATAACATAGCATAATGCTGAAGTTACACCCCTCTATAGGATAGCCTGTTAAGACCACCCAAGATTATGACAATACACTATCCTAAAATACCTGACTACCCGAAAGTTGCATCCCTCATCATTCTTGAGCTATGAACCTACTTTATGTTTCCTTGGAGCCCTTTGTATTACTTGACCTTATATTATAAGTCATTTGCATTATTGTCTTAATCCTTCATTCCAACCTGCAACAATGCCTTTAACTCCTTGACTTTGGGTTTGGCCATATGAACTTGGTGGCCAGTGAAATGAGGCAGAAGCGATGGGGTGCCAGTTAAAACCCAGGCCCCAAAAAGTTCTTTGCATTTCCGCTTGCTCTCACTAGGGCCTCTACCAATGCCTTCAAAGTAACATTCATGGGCTAGCTCACTGGTCGTAGGAGAATAGATGAGAACCACCATGGACCCAGAATGCTGGAGCAAACTCAAGTCAGCTAACCCATAGGTATATGAGCTACAAATAAACAGCTGGTCTATATTTGCAGGGTGGTTTGTTATGCATCAATAACTTACTAATAATTATATTTTTTGCTTGTCATCTGTCTATCTCTCTGGAATATAAGTTTTACATCTGTCTTTTTGCTGCTGTGTGTTCAGCCTTTAGAACAGTGTCTAGAATACTCTAGGTGCTCAAATAATTTTTTGTTGAAAAGATGAATTAAATGGCTTCTGTACTGAAAAGTGCATGGTGCCGATATGAAACACCCCTCCATGTATTGCCATACCAGATATACTTCATGATGGTGATAGTTCACTCCTCCCACCTGGAAAGCATTCTGTAACTCTAATATTCTGTTACTCACATGTGGCCATCTAATTCTGCCTATGGCAAGGCAAGGCCTTCTTACAATAGTATAGACCAGGATTAGACATAGTAAAGAACATTCCACAGAGGCTAGTGTGAGCATGTAGGTGCTTGGAGATCTTTGGTGAAGGACACTTGACGTGTGACATCCTTCTGAATTTCCTCAATGTATGAAGAGCCCAGACATCTAAGACTAAGACAGAAAATACTCCTTT